AGAACAAAAAAAAAAAGAAACATGGAAAAAAAGAACTAGTGACGTGGATGTTATTATTATTATGGTGATATTGTAATATACAGCGCGTACTTGGTATATAAGAGAGAAAAAGAGAGAGAAAGAGAGAGAGAGAGAGAGAGAACTAAAAAAAAAAGGTGGAAAAATCATCGAAAATAAAATGGTCGTATTTTAGTTAGCAACGTAGTGGTGGTGCATTAAACAGTGCCAACATTTGAAAGATTTGGTTTTTTTTTTTTTTAACCAATTTGTAAAATTCTCCATAGTATGGTTCTCCATAGTTGCAACAATTCCAACATTTTTTTAATTTTATATCATTTTGAACTTTTAAACATTCTATTTGATTTATAAATTGATTGAATTATATTTGAAACAATAAGAAAAACAAAGTAAATTTTTGAAAAAAGAATTTCGGATTTGGAAATAGAAAGCAAATTTTTTACAGTGTTAAATATAAAAAAAGGCTAATTTACTGACTATAAAATGAAATTTTGATCGAGTCATTTTTATATTTACAGTATATAGTAAGACTCAATCAAAAAATAAATAAATAAATAAATAAATAAAAAAGAAAGAACAGAATTTTTGGAATATTAAATCACAATGATTAGTTCAATTTTTAAATCAATTTTTTAACAGGGCATATCACACACATACACACACACACACGTATTATTTTTGTAATTTATGTATGTACATAAAAAGTTATATGGCTTATTTTTTTAGAAGACTCTAACCAAGTAATTTTTTCAAATTCATTTTCAAAATTCATTTTTCCATTCCTAGATACGATAAATCAATCTGACATGTTATTTTCTAAATTTGTTTTTCTAAATACTTAGAAATTATATTTCAAATCTAACACATCAATTGCACATTCCATTTTATAAATTATTATATACATCATAAAAACTGTATAATTTTTATCTATTTAATTTAATCTTTTTCTTTATTAATATTCATTTAATTAAAAAAGTTAAATTAATACGATATTAATTGTAATTGAAATCATACAAAATAGGATTTTGAATATTATTTTAATTTTCTATTTAACATTTGAAACATGCATTTATTATATATATATATATATACTTCAATATAAAGGCCCTAATATATATATATATTATGGTATATACTATACCAGGGGTCGGCAACCTGCGGCTCGCGAGCCACATACGGCTCTTTAATTAAAACATTTAAAAATCGTTCTAAATCGATTAACAAGGATTAAGCACCGATGAATAAATAGATTAGTTTTTTTTTTTTTAATCAAAATAGCTTTATTTATTAGTACTATTATTATATTATTTATATTATTTATTATTAGTATTATTTATTGTTGGCAAGAAGAAATTTGGTAGCTCTTTAAAAACTTTGAAATTTTGTAAATTGTAATTTTTGGCTCTTCTGATTCTGATTCAAAAGGTTGCCGACCCCTGTACTATACCATAGTATAGTCTATAGTATATATATATATAATGGTATATACTATATATGTATATATATTCGTGGTAATGAATTTTTAAATTTAACAAAAGATTATTAATTTTCTATACTCCATGTACCTCAACAAATTCCGTCAAACAAATGTCATTTTTGAAAATAATTCCACTGCAACATTAATATATATATATATATATATTCTCTTTGATCAGTACGTTAATTGTAAAAAAAAAAAAGATAATAATGAATACAATAAGAATATAATTAGTTATATAACAAAAAGAATATTTTGATAAATCATTGTATTGAACAACAACAAAATATTCAATCATTTCCACATTGCTTATTAATTTAAAACAAACGACAAACAAATACGACTAACTAATATAAAATAATCCAAAAAAAAAAAATTCACACGTGTATAATTATCATAAATTATTTAAAAAAAAAAAAAAACAAAAATCAATGTAATAAGGCACCTTTCTAAAAAAAAAAAAAAACACTACTTTGCTGACTAAAATAAAAAATTGATCGATGGATTTGTCATCAATAAATCATCCAAAGATCATTCGTGTGTGTTACTGCGAAATTATTATATATAAAAATAAGAACAAAAAAAAATAATGAAAGAAAAGTAAAAGTATAATAAAAAAAAAAAAAGATC